TCTCAAGGCACACCAGTGAGTGTGTACAAGGCGGTGCCTCCACCTGGCTGGCCATTTTACATTCATTACAAGCAAGGGACTGCAGCAAGGGAGTGGACCCCAACTGAACACCATCACCACTGGGGTGCTCAGGATCTCTTTTAGGTTAAAACATCAGGAGCCCAGGCACACCTGTGAGTGTGACCTGCTCCCCAGTAACCCGGGGAGGAAAAAGGGGGTTACATACGTAACAGAATTTTTTATTAATGTGCTTTCAAAAGGGGAGTAAAAGAACAGTTTAAATTTGTAGGATTTTAACTTCAAACATTCATTTTATTGAATAATTACCATACATTGTAAAATTCAGTCAAACTCAAAGCTTCCATTACTCTTTCCATAACTAATTTGAATTATTTTGAGATTTGTAACAATTGCAAATTTTTTTGCACTACAATGACAGTTGAATAGGTGACTCGATTTTAATTTTGTCAGCAAGTATTTGTATGAACTCTAATAATAGTCATGACATTTTTCTGATAAAAACAAAAATAATTATTTAAACACTTCACCCAGCATATTCTGGAGTAAAAAGTAGTGCATTCAGTTAAGTTAAGTGGCAGGATTGTTTATGCAAAATTTGGTATTTGTAAATAATTGCAAAGTATAATATTATTTTGCCCAAACAACTCTTCGAAATACATAAGAGATTAAAATAGTACCAAAAAAGGTTGGAAATGTAGGATCACACTAAGCAATATTATTATATATACAGCAACATAGTCCTTTATTTCTGAAAGCATTACTACAGGTTTCTTGGTACTAGCAATCACAAATATTAGATTGCACAGTATATGGTTGCTTGCCAGTTGATACATTATTTGTTTCAAAGTCTGAGTGGTGATATAAATGGAATGCCATCCACAAATTTCAGGCTATGCATGGCTGTTACCCATATGGCTCTGTAAAAGACTTCCAAAGGAGTACCTACAACTGGAAAGAATTTGACATTATACATGGGCTAGCCAAGGACATGTACAGGTCACATGAATTCCCATTCTCAGCATGGATACAGTACAAAAAAGTTTGTGGTGAGATGTATTTGTAAGCAATTTCAGGAAGAATCTGAAACTTTATATGATAAATGATACATTATTAGACTCTGCTTCTATTGTGTAGCGAGTAGTTTTGCTGGAGTGAATTCTGGGGACTATACAAAAAATAATCTCTGGTGTGTTTTTATATAAAGGTGTCCCTGGATTGATATTTAATCCATGCATAAAACAGTTATATCATAGTCAGTCTGAAGGAAGTGGATGTAAAAATGATAGGGTTGGACTAAAACACGGCTTCACCCACAGCCAAGAAATTAAATTGGGGGGCAGTAACTGAGTAAAAGTTTCATTTATTTTATAATTTTTCAAGCTTAAATTTGTTGGAATTTTTTTTGGTAGCTGAAAAGTGGGTGGTAGCTCTTACATTTCCCTCCAGAATCTAGGGACAGGAGTAGTTCCAGCTTCTCCATGTACTCTTTTTAGCTGTTGGGTAGGAATAGATGAGTGGCACCTCAAATGAAAGGTTTTAATAACTAATTCTATACACACCTCTAGGTTTCAGTTAAAAGCAATTCTTGTAGGGTGGTTATAAATTCTTATGAATCTGTAGCTGGAAAGCAGAATCCTTTCTTCCCTGGCATACACTTATCTTTGACACAATTGGAGTGATTTCACAAACTGGGTTAAGAATGCCAACAATATAGAAGAGGATTTAAAACACAATCTTGGCAGGTTATCTGTGCTCTCACAGGCCTTGGGAGGTAGGCCGGTCCTTGCCCACAGACAACCCGCCAACCTGAAGCATATTCTCACCAGCAACTACACACCGCACCATAATAACTCGAACTCAGGAACCAATCCTTGCAACAAACCTCGGTGCCAACTCTGCCCACATATATACACCAGCAACACCATCACAGGACCTAACCAGATCAGCCATACTGTCACTGGTACATTCTCCTGCACATCCACCAACGTAATATATGCCATCATGTGCCAACAATGCCCCACTGCTATATACATCGGCCAAACTGGACAGTCCCTACGTAAAAGAATCAATGGACACAAATCTGATATTAGGAATGGCAACATACAAAAACCTGTAGGGGAACACTTCAATCTTCCTGGACACACAATTGCAGATCTAAAAGTAGCCATCCTGCAGCAAAAAAACTTCAGGACCAGACTTCAAAGAGAAACTGCTGAGCTACAGTTCATCTTTAAGTTTGACACAATCAACTCTGGATTAAACAAAGACTGTGAATGGCTCGCTAACTACAAAAGCAGCTTCTGCTCTCTCTGAATTCACACCTCCAGATCAGCTGCTAGAAGTGGGCCTCATCCTCCTTGATTGGATCCACCTCATCATCTCCAGCCTGATCCTGGCCTGCATATTTATACCTGCCTCTGGAAATTTCCACTACATGCATCTGACGAAGTGGGCCTTTGCTCACGAAAGCTTATGCTCCTACACTTCACTTAGTCTATAAGGTGCCACAGGACTCCTCGTCGCTTTTGCAGATTCAGACTAACAAGGCTACCCATCTGATACTTGACTGCTCTCATAGTCAATGTTGTGTGAATCACACGCACCTCACTTCATGTGCCCTTGCTTTGAGTCTGTGTCACTTAGTCATACTAGTAGGAAAAAACCTAAGCAGACAGAAACCAGTGGAATCGTGGGCAACAGTAACGGGCTGCATACTGCCCTCAGGTCGCAGGTTCCCCACCGCTGTCTTATACTCATGTCACAAATTCTTTGCAGCCACAATGGCAAAGGACTTGCAGATTAAAATACACACACAAACCCTAAGATTCTGGAGTACAACTGAGGTCCTTCTGAGCCTCATCCACTGTCATAGAACCACCTTTACATTGTCAGTCTTCACAGCTTATGTTGCAAGCTAATACCTAGGTGCTGCAGAAAGTAGCACTGGTAATTCAGTAAGTGGCACTTTTCCCTCTCAATCAGAAATGAACCAATGGTCCACAGTATTAAGGATGCTGTGAGGCTGTAGGTCAGCATTTCTTAAAGTGTGTTCTGTGGAATACTGGTGTGCCGCGAGGCAGTCGGAGGTGTGCCGCAGAGAGAACAGAATTAAAAACGGCTGCCTGGCCTGGTGCTGCAGCTGTGCTGAGTTCCCCGCTGCATGGGCAAAGACTGAGCTCCCTCCCTCCCCCAGGAACAAGAGCATGCTGCCTGGAGGCTTTCCCTGCTGCAGCACAGTGCCAAGCGAGGTAAGCGTCTCCCCTCATGCCCAGACCCTGCACCCATATCCCCCTCACTTCCCTCCCCGCCCCCCACCAAGAGCCCACATGCCCACCTTGCTCTGACACTCTGCCCCAAGTCCCCTCTTGTACCTTCCCTTCTGACCAGGCACCCTGCCCCAAGACCCCCTCCTGGCCAGACAACTCTGCCCCAACTTTCTCCTGTACTCTTCTTCCTGGCCAGGACATTGCAGATCATCTTTGTCATTTATACACAAACATCATGAAGTATTTTCCAACCATAAATGACAACAATAACTGGATTTGAAATCCATTAAGTATAACAGGAAAGCCAATCAGTTTTTCTATGCAAGATTATGAAAACCTAATTGAAATCACTTCAGATGGCCAATTAATACAAAAATGTAAAGAAGTTTCTCTGATTACGTTTTGGGGCGGCTTATGTCAAGAATATTCAGCTTTATCAAGACATGCAATTCGTCAGTTAACATTCACCAGCACATACTTGTGTGAAACTGGGTTCTCGAATTATGCAGCAACAAAAACAAAATACAGAAATGGACTGAATGCAGCACCAGATATGCAAATCCAACTTTTTAGTATTAAACAAAATATAAAAAGAATTTGCCAAGAAAGAAAAACCACTCTTCACATTGAAAACTGCCAATAAAATTCATATTAGTTTTTTAGCTTTATTTTTTGTACACATTAAATGTTGATCTTCTGACCTTATTTAGCATTTGTTTATTATTATTCTTTACTTATTTGTGGTCTATATGCCAGACTGTCTTCCTGGGAGCCTGGGCGGGCGGGGTTTGTCTTGGCACTCGGGTTTGGTGGCTTTTTTTTGCTCGACAAATTTTCCCTAGGGCCTCCTCGAAATTCTTCCGAGTTTAAAAGGGTCCCATGGCAAAATAAAATTGAGAAACACTGCTATATGAATTCAAGTGTAGCCTGAGAAACAATTTAATTAGCTCAATCTATACCACTAATCCCCAATATAGGGAGGGAGAGGGCTTCTGCAGACAAGGAAACATACTATCGTGTATAGAGAACTGCCAAATTTGAGGCCACCTTGCAATATAGTCACTCCCAGTTGATAACAGAGTGACTGGGAGCACAGCTTTCAATTCTTTTTGGCTAAGAGCAAGGTTTCAGGGTTTCCCCCATTCTTTCAACACCATAGTTATTTGAGCTTCACAGAAGCCAGTCTACAGGATATTATGAAGTTCTGTAAAGAAAAGTGCCCTGTAGCTACCGGGAAAATGCCACAAATGTAATTGTGATAAAATGTCTGCCTTGAAGCAGGTCAAATCAGTAAAAGGTAAGTATTAAAACTGACAAAACAGATAGAAAGAAACCTTGTGCTCACTCAATTCCTCTAAGGTGTTTGCCCACTTGTTTTATTTATGCTTTTATAAGTAGTACAAATTAAGACTAACACAGTGTTACACTGCTTGGTAAATATGGGTCTCACAAGATAGCTTCTGTAAATCAGCATAAAGGGGTACAGTCTATGAAAATGTATGCTCTGAATTAGGACACAAGGCTCATTTTACTACATCAGAAAGCTATTCTGTGAATTCTAATTCAACGTATTTGGCTTTAGCAATACTAATGATCAACTCAAGATATTATACAAAGGTTGAAGTTATAACAGGAAAAAAGTTCAATTTTGACTACAAATAGCTCATCTGAAATCCCTGAATAATTAAAGGGCAAATCAAGTTTTACACATACCTGTGAGACACAAAAATGCAGCTATATATCGTTTTTCAAGGCCATCTTTATACGTCTGAATCGCACCATAGATTGGAGGTAGAAGGAAAATCAGGTTACTCACTGTGTTCCCTGTAGGACAGAAACCAAAGCAGAGATTTAATATTGGGCAACATGCACTTGAAATAAACAAAGCTACATTCATTCAAACAAGACTTCAATAGTTCTCAGTAAAAAGGCTACACCTTTTCTCCAAACCTTTTTCTGTGAGCATCTTATCTACTGCTGCATTTGCTACAGTCTAGATAACCCTATTTGAAGGTGTTTTTTAAAATTATAACACAGAAACACCTTTATGCTACTTTTCATGTGCCTCTGTAATATTTTTAAAATATTACAGAAAAATATGGTTAATCTTGGTAGAATACAAAGCATATTTTATCAAATTCTTTCAGCAAATATAAATCCTCAAATAGAAGAAATTTCTGCTATTTGAAGGAGCTGCTTTAAATAAAAAAAAACACAACAACTACTCCTGGAACACTTTGGGGACATTGACATGAGCATATAGTAATCTTTCCTTCTCTCCTCATGCTCATCCCTCAGACCCCTCAAGACAGGCTATAAAATTTTCAGTTTAGATTTAACCATTTAAGTTAAATGCAGGCAACACACGTCTTTCATCAGGCTTTAAAACTTTCACCAGACAGCTACTAATCAAGGCATATTTCTAAAGACAGATTTCAGTAGGACCAGTGGACAGTTAGGCTATGTCTACACTGGCAACTGAGCAACAAAAGTTTTGTCATTCAGATGTGCTAACCCTCCCTCCATGGTTCCCCCAAAGACGAAAAATTTGCTTCAGCAAGTGCCAGCGTGAACAGCATATTGTTGGCAGAAGTGCTCTATTGTTAACAACATGAAGACTGTTCGATGGAAGTATTGTCAGCATAAGTACGATACAGCCATGTCACTAAAAGCGGTGTAATAAAGACAAAGCCTCCATGTGATCCAAAAGCAATGGATTGCTGGGATGTGACACATCTGAGCACAAAAGCTCTGCTGAATAAAGCTTGAAGGCATTTGGCTAAATACTGAGCTTGGCTGAATTCAGGTACATATAATATGAACTCAACAGCACAAAGAGAAGACCAAAAATAAGTGTCACATTTTAGAACTACACTAATTTATGCTACTAGATGCAAGAAAATAGTGCACCTGCACAGATACTATGGGCTGCAGACAGTTCCTTGTCCCTTGTGCAGTCATTTATATCCATGCAGAGAGAGTGAGATTACCATTCTGACGGGATAGTGTTTTTACATCCACTTTGCAAATTCAGCACTGGTTATCCCTGCCTAACAGAGTCAGATTTTAGGAGCATAAATGATGTAGTTACCAAATTAAACACAGACCTAAATTTCCTCTTAAAAACAGGGATTGGCAACCTATGGCTCACTGGAGAGCCAAATAAGACTGCTGGAGCCCCAGCTCAGCCATCCCCTTTCCTCCCCCCTGCAGCAGGGAGCCAGCGCTGGCACTACAGCCTTATAAGCCCCCAGAAGCTTGAAACGCCAGTGCCAGCTTCTAGCAGGGGAGAGAGGGGAGGAGAAAGCCCTGAGGCTCCATGCTGGATCCAGTGTGCAGGAAACAAGAGAAGAGAAAAGTGGCTTAATGTGTGCTGCTCTTTTCCTTCCCCTGGCCTGCGGGAAACCAGGAATAAAAAATAGCTCCGTGCGTGTTGACATTTTATTCCCTCCCGCCCCCCACAGAAAACACTTCCTGCAGGCTTTCCCTGCAAATCCTGCCTGGTGAATGGGAGTGGCAGGAGGCTGCATTACATGTGGCATGAAAGCAAGTAAGTGCCCTCCACCCTCACGCCCAGGCCCTGCATCCACCCTCACTCACCCTCCCCCGCCTGACACTCTGCCCCAGCCTCCTCCTGCTCCCGGCCAAACACCCTACTCTGAGCCTGCTCCTGTACCATACCTCCCCACCCAGACCTCACACCCTCACTCCCTCCTACACTGCACCTCCCACCCAGATCCTGCACCCCCCATTCCTATTGAATTCACTGGCTGCTCTGTACCACACACTGGACCCCTCATTTTTGCCCCTCCCCCCCGAACCTGGGGGGCCCACAAAATCCACTAATCCTGGAACCCCAGAAGAGTTAAATCTGGCCTGAGACCTTTAACCTCAGTCCTCCATGCCCCTTCCCTCAACCATGGGGAGTGAGGTGTTTCAGTTGGGGGCCACATCTGTCAGGGTTGAAAGTTTTTGCTTTGGCTTATTTTGCTTCTCACTTGTGTGGTCCCAACTGATTTTTCTAGGAGTCAGTGGCCCTGACCCAAAAAAGGTTCCCAACTCCTACCATAAATAAAGATAATGTTGAAACCTTGTGTGTTAGACATAATATTTTACTTCATTTAAAAATGAAGCCTGGCCAACAAGCTCCCAATTGGGGCCCAGCCCCCATCTGGCCACAGCATCATAACACTCCTGCACCCTCCGCCCACCAACCTCAAGCCCATCATACACCTGAACATCCTGCCCTGAGCCCCTCCTGCCCCACATCCTCAGTCCCTTTCCACAACACTCTTGAACCCCCACATACCCAACCTTGTGCCCCGAGTCCATCATACACACAAATCCCCTGCCCTAAGCCCCTCATACACTCCAACCCAGACTCCTGCATCCCTACATCCCCAGTCCCCGCCATAAGATTGACAGAAGATAGCCTGAATGTGTGCATGAAGCTGGATTTGACCAGTTGTGATGTAAACTTCAAAGAAACGTGCAAAAAGATGCAGCAGCAGAAGCCACATTAATTAAAGTCAGTGAGTATGTTTCATTTACGCTACAGGCAGTCCCCGACTTATGCGGATCCGACTTATGTCAGATCCGCACTTACGAATGGGGCTTTTCTCGCCCCGGAGCTCACGGGCGGCGGGTCGCCACCCGTGTCCTCCGGGGCGAGAAAAAGCTTCTCCCCGTCTCCCTGGTCTGCTGGGGGGTGGGGGGGGTCCAGCAAAGCCGCTGGACCCCCCCCAGCAGACCAGGGACACCTGAGCAAAGCCGCCGCCTGGGCTGTCCCGCTGCGGGCGTGCTCCGCAGCTTTGCTCCGCGTCTCCCAGGTCAGCAGACCAGGGACACGGAGCAAAGCCGTGGAGGACTTGGGCGGTCTGCCACCCGGTCTCCCTGGTCGGCTGGGGGGGAGGGGGTGGTGCCGGCAGGGG